GCACAATTACTCAGAGGAGAACAAACTTTATTAAAGCTACACAGACTCTACAATTTCTGTTTTGAGACATCATTTGTGCCTATCAGTGAAAGTCCGGGTTAGAAAGTTGATCTTCAGTAACCCATGCTTGTCGTAAGAGGCGACTAACAGGATCGGGTGGTCAGGTTCGCTGATTTGGTTGACACATGTCATCGGTTCCCAATTGTGCAGATCGATGCTCCTGCTGTTGATCACTGGATTGTCTGGTCCAGACTCGATTATTTACAGACCGCCGCCATATAGCTGGAATATTGTTGAGTGCGGCGTGAACCTAAACTCACTCACTCACTCATCATTGGTGCCAGAAATGTGGTCCAAAGGAATTATGAACCTCATTCCTAAGTCGTCCCCCAATTGACCCAAGGGACCCACGAGCGTACAGGGGGATATATAACTGTTGCTCCGGTGATCTACAGGGTGCATTGTGGCATACTGAACACACGTCTAATGGAGTGGGCTGAAAGCAACAATATAATCAGTGACGGTCGTATTCGAAATGAATAGATCGATGCTCATGATATTAACCACTGGATTGTCTGGTCCAGACTCGATGTTTTACAGATTGCTGGGATGTTGCTGAGTGCGGCGTTAAACAACAAACAGACAAACAAAGGCCGCACGTAGCAATATTCGAGCTATATGACCGCGGTCTTGGGCATCTTGCTGACAACTTGGAGCCGACATAATGGAATCTGCATCAGTACAATCTTGCTCACAGTACATAAATCGTGTATGGCATTATGTGATTGTTAAACAAAATCATGGACAAATATATCATCACATTGAAAGTACAAAGAACCATATAGCTTACAAAATTGTGTTGCCTATTGTGGGGTATTTAATATACAGACCCGTGCCAGTTATATTCGGACACTTGACGTAATTTTCATAGAATAGTTTTCATGAATTTCATTTTCGTAAGATCCAAGTTAAATTTTGCCCATTTGTGAGGAATTATCTTACCTACAATCACGTAATTTCTTTTTAATTTTCCGTTGCTTTTTTATCGAATGGCAACAATTTAATCAACCTCTGTACAGTGCCGTGAACTCCTTTAACATGGCGGCCTTTGGGAGTGTGCATTGTGGAACCATACGTAAGTTGATAAATGTGATATCATTAGTTAAACATTGGTCGGAGAATTGAAATGAAATTATGTGCGCAGAGCAAAGATGATTTCAAATTTGCCTGTCAAAATTTACATTGATTAATCCTAAACTCGGTAGGTCGTGCCATGAAAGGCGAGAGATTCAAACACGCGGGTACGCACGTGCGTTTGTTTACAGAACGGCTCTCATGGGTCCAATGGAGTCTATTTCTGACGAACTTGCGGGCTTGTTTCGGTGGTTGTACGTGCGCTTTCCGTGATTTTTAGGAAATATAAATATATTATCGCTACGAGTTTCAAAACAATAATATTAAATCTATATGTAACTAATCAACTTAAATCTTTAACACTGGGCTCACGTATCTTGGTATGTTAGTCGGACAGTTTTGGGGTCATTCATATTTTTGTCAGTGCATTCATTTTCAGCTTCCACCAGGGGTTTGGCAGGAAGGCTACGCGAAGGTATAGTTTGAGTGTAAGACTTGAGTAATTGCGTGGTTGCGTAACAATTACGTCTCACGGGAAAAGGGATGGGCAAATGTGTCTATTGCGCGAAGAGCTCTAGTCAAAGATGACACAACACAAAAAGACAGTAATAATATGTATTAAAATAAAAGTCTTGGTTACAGAGTTGCAAGTTCCGACTGCACAGTCCAGGTGAAACCTAAAAAACAAGTTGGCTTGTTGTCACCTTGACAGTGCCGGCAGAAAGAGCTTGATTTCAGGCTTCGGGGTCCCACGCTCCCTCTTGCCCCTGTCATGACAACATAGCCCCTGGGGATTGGCTAAAAAACTGTCGCTCTTGAACCCATGGCACCAGTGCCTTGAGCCCCAGAACCCTATCAGATAACTGGTAAAGGGCAGGTTATTGGGTTACTTGTGCAAGAGACTAGGACAAAATATCCAGCCTTTACATGAGAAATATTTTAAAGTCATTTTTGAGTATCTGCAGTGTTTCTCCGAGTTCCTCGTTGTTGTTCCTTAGGTTTCAGTAGGATTTAAACAGCCTTTTATCTCACGAATAGTGTAGCATGTGAATGTTTCTGAACTGTATACGGAAGGCCCATAGGAAAAGTAAAACTATACTAATGGGTGAATGGTACATGCGGTTTTACGTTTTTACAGTTTGTGTTGACGTAACCAAGTCCAGAAGAAGCTGATCTTTTCCTGTTGACAGCAGCATACAGAACTGACGTAGATTTAGATGGGATAGAAGTTTGGTTTGTTTGTTTGGTATTTGAGGCTGCACTCAGCAATATTCCAGCTATATGGCGGCGGTATGTAAATAAGCAACTCTGGGCCAGACAATCCAGTGATCAACATCATGAGCATCGATCTACGCAATTGGGATACGATGACGTCAACCAAGTCAGCGAGTCTGACCACTCGATCCCGTTAGTCCCCTCTTACGACAAGCATGGGTTGCTGAAGATCAATTCTGTCCGGATGTTCACGGGTAAGATGGGATATAACGATTCCGTAGATCTTTCCATTATACTAACCACTACAAAACTGCTACGATGATATTCTTATATTCATTACATTTACAGAGGATAAATTCTATGCCCACATTAAATTCATCTCCTCTACTGTACCTGCAACACGTTAAACAAGTGAGTGAGGCTTATGTTGACTTTGAAGTTGACGTCGAAGTTGACCTTGACCTAAACGTCTGTCGGATCATCCTTCTAAAGGATTCGGAAGGCTGTGATGAAATCTCCAGTGACATGAACGTCGCCAGCACCACCACAACCATCACAGCAACTAACATAATAAACAGTAATGTGTCTATCCGTTGCACTTATTCCAAACAAAGCATGCTAAAGTTCAGGACCTAGAAATTCGAAGCTTCTGGTGTTAAGCTGGTCGTAAGTGCCATACATTAACATTAACTTACGACAATCTTAGAAAGAGAGCTTCGAAAATCTTGGCCCAGATCTGTAATTTTCCCGACGAAAGGAACAGTCCTCATTCAAGTCAAAATAAACGTTTTCATTTCCATTTCCCACGTCTGTCATGTCCCTCATTTTACCGCAGACACTTGATTCCCGTTCGTTGTTACAGCAAGGTAAATGTTGGTATCTTGGGAACGCTGAGCTGATAATACGAAAATAGAAAAATGCCAGCAGGCGTGCCCCGTTGAGTTGCTGTTATAACAACAGGGGAAAAGGGGGGCCTTTATTTATCTTGTTAGAAAGAACAGATTGACACACATAGCCTCTACTGGCCAGGATCTGGCCGCACCACCGCCGTAGTGTAATCGGAACGCTGTGTCTTTGACCTGACGTGACATATGTGAGTATAATTACATGAGTACAGATATGTCGAGTTAGAAGTGAAACCGCCGTATACAGAAGTAGTTTCATGTCAAGAGCCAATGCGTGTGTAAAATATATAGTCTGTTTGAGGGAAAAAGCGAAAGACTGGAGATGAGTCTGAAATTATGTGAGGACATGTAAGATGTTTTGTGATTTGTTGTGAACTGTTATCTGTTATATGTCATGAAATGTCACGTGTCATGAACTGTTACAGGTTATCTGTTACATGTCATGAACTGTTACAGGTTATCTGTTACATGTCATCAACTGTTACAGGTTATCTGTTATATGTCATCAACTGTTACAGGTTATCTGTTACATGTCATGAACTGTTACAGGGTATATATTATATGTCATCAACTGTTACAGGTTATCTGTTATATGTCATCAACTGTTACAGGTTATCTGTTATGTGACATGAACTGTTACAGGTTATCAGTTATATGTCATCAACTGTTACAGGTTATCTGTTACATGTCATCAACTGTTACAGGCTATCTGCTATATGTCATCAACTGTTACAGGTTATCTGTTATGTGTCATGAATTGTGACAGGTTATCAGTTATATGTCATCAACTGTTACAGGTTATCTGTTATATGTCATGAACTGTTACAGGTTATTTGTTATGTGACATGAACTGTTACAGGTTATCAGTTATATGTCATCAACTGTTACAGGTTATCTGTTATATGTGAGCAACTGTTATATGTGATCAACTGTTATATGTTATCTGTTATATATCATAAACTGTTACATGTTATCTGTTATATGTCATGGACTCTTACAGGTTATCTGTTATATGTGGTCAACTGTTGCAGGTTATCTGTTATGTGACATGAACTGTTACAGGTTATCAGTTATATGTCATCAACTGTTACAGGTTATCTGTTATATGTGAGCAACTGTTATATGTGATCAACTGTTATATGTTATCTGTTATATATCATAAACTGTTACATGTTATCTGTTATATGTCATGGACTCTTACAGGTTATCTGTTATATGTGGTCAACTGTTACAGGTTATCTGTTATATGCCATGAACTGTTACAGGCATTCTGTTATATGCCATGAACTGTTACAGGTTATCTGTTATACGTCATGAACGGTTACAGGCAATCTGTTACATGTCATCAACTGTTACAGGTTATCTGTTATATGTCATGAACTGTTACAGGTTATCTGTTATATGTCATGAACTGTTATATGTTATCTGTTATATGTTATCAACTGTTACAGGTTATCTGTTATATGTGATCAACTGTTATATGTTATCTGTTATATGTCATGAACTGTTAAAGGCAATCTGTTATATGCCATGAACTGGTACAGGTTATCTGTTATACGTCATGAACTGTTACAGGCAATCTGTTACACGTCATCAACTGTTACAGGTTATTTGTTATATGTCATCAACTGTTACAGGTCATCTGTTATATGTCATGAACTGTTACAGGTTATCTGTTATATGTCATGAACTGTTACAGGCAATCTGTTATATGTCCTCTTTTCATTTACATTTACCCAGATTACA